TTTTCCTTGTAAATTATGGAAAAAAACTCCCTTTTCCCTGTATATTTCAGTAAAAACCTCCCTTTTCCTTGTAAATTATGGAAAAAAAACTCCCTTTTCCCTGTATATTTTAGAAAAAAACAACCTTTTCCCTGTATATTTTAGAAAAAAACTCCCTTTTCCCTGTATATTATGGAATTGAGGTAAATTCATGCCCCGCCCTTCTCACTGGGTTCGGGGGGGCGTTTCCAGACTCCAGGTGAGGAGAATCATCTCATTAGTTGGGAGACGTTCACTCACAGGGAGAAATGAGCACTGCAGGAAAGTTTGATCCTCAGAGAAGAAGCCGGTGAGCTTAAGTTGTTTTAAAAAATGGAAAGATGGTAGAATGACTGAGATGTTAACACTTGGTTTCTGTGTGTTTATGTTTAAAGGTTTTTCACCTACTGCTACTACTGTTACGACTATTATTAATATTGTTGGTTCAACAAACCTTCCAATAAAAGAGGAAAATGAAAGAAAGAAAAGGGTGAAATCCTCTGGAAGCAAGCTAAAAAACAACAACTCCCTTTTCCCTGTATGTTTTAGAAAAAGACAAGCCGCTTCCCACCAAAATAAAAGAAACCTCTGGAAGTCTCACCAGTTCAAATGTTCAGATTTTACTCAATAATGGAGACTGTAATGTTAAAAGTATGACTTAATTCGAGTTTTAAAAATTGTCGAGTCAATTTAGACTCAAACTTTTGTGTCTAGTACAATCTGAACCAAAGCTTTAAGTCATGTTAATGATAATTTGCTTTAATAAAACAAACAAAAAAGACTGATTCTACTTTTCTGTAGTTTGTGTTTTAATGTTGTTGACAACAAACTGATTCTACTTTTCTGTAGAGATGCATCCTGGGTGTTCTGTCATCGTTCTGAAGGCCGTTCATGTCTAAAAAAAATGACATTATGTGCATTTAAAATCCGTCCTTAGCCTGTCTTAAATGTTGGATAAAGGAGGTTTGGTCCATTTGAGCAGAACCAGGAAGCAGATCCTCCTCTGGAGCTAACCGCTAACAGGCTAGCTGCTCCTGAAACCGTCCGGGGTTTTGTGTGGACCCCCTTTGTGTGGAGGATCAGGCCGCCTGGGGCCACATCTGGATGGATGGAGCAGAGGGCCCCCCCCCCCCCCCCCTCCACAGGGGCACACAAAGCCCGGTGAAAGCCTGATGTGGAAGGCCTTTGTGAGGGTCTGAGCACATTAAGGGAGGATGCAGAAAGCCAGAACAGGCAGGAAACAGACGAGAGAAAGAAAGCCTCAAGACTTTTACATTTCTAAAGCCTGAATTAGCTTTAGAAATGGAGCTGAGAGGGGAAAAGCTTCTGAGTCCAGATGGAACTAAGAGCTGGACCCCCTGGATCAGAATAAAAAATACATTTATTATAATAATAATAATTATTATTATTATTATTAGTAGTAGTAGTATTACTGTTATTGTTGTTATTATTATTATTATTATTATTATTATTATTAATAATATTATGATTGCTATTATTATCATTATTATTATTATTATTATTATCATTATTATTATTATTATTTTTTTGCTAACCTTTTTTAATGCAAAGATTAACAGACAGATTAACAAACAGACTCATACTATTTTATTTTTTACTTAGTTCATCATATATTTTTTAAAATCTAAAGTTAAAATGAACAGACTATTAGGATTTGTAGTTTATACGTCATGCAGACGTTCAGATTTTAATCTGACTCATAAATCTTGAAAGAAATTAAACTATGTCAGAAACTCTGATGCTGTTTTCAGATTATTTCTTTTGCTTGATGGTAAAATCAGCCTGGGGTAAAATGCATACAGTCAGAGACTGTAGCAGCAAGCTGCCACCATATAATAATTTGACCTTGTAGAGGCTAAATAGCTTTTCTTGAAAAATTAACCTTTTACTTTCCACTCTTGCAGGACGTAAGGATTCTGACTCGTTCATCTTGGTTTAAAAACTTACAGACCAACATAAAAAATGACTTCAGTTTATCAGGAACGTCAAACGTCAAAAAATGCCAGCACAAACAAAAAAAAACTTTTATTTTACGCACACTGCGCATGCGCAATCTTCAAAACTGCGCACCTCACGTTTCTTAAACTCCGGGCATTAAAGGAGCTTTATTAAGTTATAAATCAAAATACCAAATGTAGAAAACAATACAAAACAAAACCAAATGCCTATTGATAAAATAAACATAACTAAATTATTTCAAACAGCAGTTAATAAACACAGTTTCTATCTCGCTCTGACTGACCTGTTGCTCTGAAAAACAACTAAATTAAAACAAAAACCCCAAAACGAAAGCAAATCTGTGACTTCAGCACGATTCTGCTCATGTTTTCTACATTTATTTAGTTGTTTTTATCCAAATTCCAGCAGCGGACGCAAATATTTCCCTCCCAAAAAAAGCATCTTGTTTACCCGTAACCAAGGCAACCGGTAAAATGGCGTCCTTCGCTGTGACGCCGTTTGAAAAAAGGAAAAGTGTCGGTGACGCAACAGATGTCTCCAGAAGACTCCCCCGTCCTCCTTCACCCCCCCATCCGTTCCTCTTCTCTCTTTTTGTCATTTTTAGACTTTTTTAGGCTTTTTTAAGGATATTTTGTGCGTTTTTCCGGTCTGAGATGAACTCTCGGGGCTGAACGGACAGATGGAGACGGCTGGATGCGCGCGGTGGCCAGCGCGCGCTCTGTGCGCCACGAGCTGACAGAGAGAGAGAGAGAGAGAGAGAGAGAAAGCTAGAGGGGGGAGGAGAGGAGAGGAGGAGGAGGGAGGAAGAGGAGGGTGACAGCTTGTCTCCCGTCATCCTCAGACGCGTGCAGAGGCGGCCGGGCGCGTGAGCAGCACTCCGCACGTCAGGGGGAATCATCGCACCCGGCTCTCCTCCTGCTCCTGCTCCTCCTCCTCTTCCTCCTCTTCCTCCTCCTCCTCCTCCTCCTCCTCCTCTTCCTCCTCCGCTCCTCGCTCTGGTTCTGACCTCGAGCCGGCACGGGGGCACTTATGCGCGCGCGTGCGGAGCAGCGGCGGCCGGAGGAGACGCGCTCGTGACCCGGAACGCGCTCCATCTCCTCTCCCGGTCCCCCCCCCCCCCCCCCGGTTCCCCCCCGGTCCCCCAGTCTTCAGCGCCCCGGGAGCATGCTGCGCGGTTGATGGCTGCGGGATGGAGATAGCCTTGGTGAGTTTTGAGAACGGCGGCGCCAAAGGGAGCGGTGGGGGGGGCGGCAATGCCGAGGAGGGCTCGTGCCGGAACGCGCTGGACGTCCCCGCGCCGGGGCTCGTGCAGCCCGTGGCCGGGGAGGAGCGCGCGAAGGAGCTGAACGTGCGGCGGGGCTCGCAGCTGCTGCGCAGCCCCTGGAGGATCAACGACATGAACAGCTCCCTGGGCTGCGCCGAGACCGCCATGGACGCGCTTTTGCGCGCGGACCACAGCCCGCACCTGTTCGACGACGACCTGCTGGACATGGACGTGGACGCGGAGAGCAGCGAGCGCGTGCTCATCAACATCGCGGGGCTCCGGTACGAGACCCAGCTGGGCACGCTGAACCAGTTCCCCGACACGCTGCTGGGGGACCCGGCCAAGAGGATCAAGTACTTCGACCCGCTCCGGAACGAGTACTTCTTCGACCGGAACCGGCCCAGCTTCGACGGGATCCTGTACTTCTACCAGTCCGGGGGCAAGATCCGGAGGCCCGTCAACGTGTCCATCGACGTGTTCGCGGACGAGATCCGCTTCTACCAGCTGGGCGAGGAGGCCATGGAGCGCTTCCGCGAGGACGAGGGCTTCATCAAGGAGGAGGAGAAGCCTCTGCCCCAGAACGAGTTCCAGAAGCAGGTCTGGCTCATCTTCGAGTACCCGGAGAGCTCCAGCCCGGCGCGGGGCATCGCCATAGTCTCCGTGATCGTCATCACCATCTCCATCATCACCTTCTGCCTGGAGACGCTCCCGGAGTTCCGGGACGAGCGCGAGCTCCCCGTGAGCGGTCGCCCGGACAACGGCACAGCCCCCCGGCCCTCGCTCACCTTCACGGACCCCTTCTTCATCGTGGAGACCACCTGCGTGATCTGGTTCACCTTCGAGCTCATCGTGCGCTTCTTCGCCTGCCCCAGCAAGTCCGAGTTCTCCAAGACCGTCATGAACATCATCGACATCATGTCCATCATGCCTTACTTCATCACCGTGGGAACCGAGCTGGCCGAGCAGCAGGGCCAGGAGCACCAGAACGGCCAGCAGGCCATGTCCCTCGCCATCCTGAGGGTCATCCGCCTGGTGAGGGTCTTCCGCATCTTCAAGCTTTCCCGACACTCCAAAGGCCTCCAGATCCTGGGCCAGACCCTGAAAGCTAGCATGCGCGAGCTGGGGCTGCTAATCTTCTTCCTCTTCATCGGGGTGATCCTCTTCTCCAGCGCCGTCTTCTTCGCGGAGGCGGACGAGCCCGAGTCGCACTTCTCCAGCATCCCGGACGCCTTCTGGTGGGCGGTGGTCACCATGACGACGGTGGGCTACGGGGACATGCGGCCGGTGACCGTCGGGGGGAAGATCGTGGGCTCTTTGTGCGCCATCGCGGGGGTTCTGACCATCGCTCTGCCCGTGCCCGTCATCGTCTCCAACTTCAACTACTTCTACCACCGGGAGACGGACCAGGACCAGTCCTCGCTCAAGGACGACTCCAATGGCGAGCAGGCGGCGCCCGAGGACAAGCGCAAGGCCAGCCGGGCGTCCGGCAAGTCGCAGGAGGCGGAGCCTAACGAGGCGGGCGTCGCCGCGGCGACGGCGGCCGGGGCGGGGGCGGGGGAGAAGGCCAACATCAAGGCCAACAGCAGCCTGGACTTCAAGAAATCCCTTTACGCTTTCTGCCTGGATACCCGGGAGACGGACCTGTAGCCCCAAAAAACCTTAAGCCCTAACACCCAACAGCCCTTAGTGATTTTAGAGGAGTTTACCGGGAGTCCGGGGGGGTTTCAGAGACTCCAGGGCATGCATGCAACAGAAGAGCCCTTTAATAGATCACCCCAAGAGCATCCGACTACCCCCCGGAAGCGGGATATATAAAAAAATACAGAGATACCCAGGGACCAGCAGGACTTTGGATCCGTACGTGAGGATTAACCGGACTCTGTACATACTGTAGGACTCAGCCCACTCTTAGATCCGCCAGACTGGATTCTTCCTCACTTTAGTCGTTATGTTTACACCAAAACGTGCAGCAGTCGTGTACATACTCCCCACAGGCCAGTTATTTTCAGATTTCTTATTACTGTAGACTATCTGGAGAAGAAAAAAATCTATTTTTGAGACGTAGACACCTGTTTTACTCCACTCAGGATCTGTGCAAGAGGTGAGAAACGTTTGGTTTTCTGTTCCAGCTGAGACCTCCAGAGGAGCTCAGCCTGGATTCCGATCATTTTAGAGGACGTTTTTGAGTTTTTTTCTATTAAAGAAGATGGACAAAACTGGAAGTAAATAAGCTGAGGGAAAAAAAGCCAAGAAAAGAAGACAGCAGAGACCATCTGAGAGCTCCAGCTACAGCAACAACAGGTGGGTGCCAGTAAATGAATTA